CTTCTCAATGTCTGCACTAAGTCCAATATGATGAGTTCTGAAGTTCAGTAACACCTTCAGTAAGTCCGCGTTCAAGTTAGGCCCTGGATCCAGGGCTTCGTTCAGAGACATACATGTAGTGTCACTAGACGATGAATCAAATACGACCCTAATTTTGGTAGAAAGGCTATCAGGTCTGAAGACAGCGCGGTGAGGCATGTAGTAAACTCTGCTTTCATCACTGGGGATTTTTTTCCTGTGGAAGTCGTTCTGCGAAGCCTTGATCCAGGTACTGACGTATAGCTGCGTCATACTCGATTAGTGTCGTCTAATCTTTCAGTAGCTTCTTCGTGAGGCTGGACAAATGCTTTTTGGCAATCTCCTTGTCAGCGAGACGAATGTTGACAAGTTTACATGGTAAAGCCACCTCATAGCACTTGTCAGTTTTTTTTATAGATGCTGAAAACGTGTTGACAACCTCATGACTTTCTTCTTTCGTTTGGGTACAAGAGTCAGTAATTCCGATGCTTTCAAGTTCTCAGAATGATTTCAGTTAAATGGACAGATCTGTTGTGTCACCCGATACCCCTACATGAAGGCAGCCGTGGTTGAGCAGCAGGTTTTTAGTGCAACAAGTGCGCCCTGCAGCTTCTTCAAGTCAGTGGACACCAACGACCAGTAATAGTCGGCAATGATAAGGATATCAATGCCGCTTCTCGCCAGCTGTGCTGTTGCCACGGTGAGATATGCCAATTCATCTATTTCCACTTGCAGTTTTTACATGATGTCTTCAGGTACTCGTAGCTGATCAGAGCAGATTTATGGTATATTTAGAGCTTCAATGAAGTGCTCGTTGTGGTCATACTGACTTCTCAGCCAAATTTTCACTTTTTTGCGCTTTTCGTTAATAATGTTGCCTGATCGTCCAAACGGGTAGATAGTGATGTCCTCTTCACCGATCATCTATAGCTGCAGTTCGCTGGAAAGCTTCTTTGTGACAAAACTTCGTTGGCTACCTCCATCGAAGAGAAGGCGCGTAAGAGCTCTCTCTCGTCCTTCTGCCCATACTTGAGCCGTTTGCAGCAGCACGGTAGGCACTATTTTTTGCTTCTGTTCCACTGAAGAGTGCAACTCGGCGGCTGTGTTCTCAGGTTGCTTTCAGCTCGGGTCACACATTTGTGACAGATGTCGTCTGTCACAGTGCTTGCAACTTAGCCCTTTGTTACGACACTGTTTTGACATATGGCCTTTTTTGTCGCACCTGAAGCAACGACCAGGCACAGCAAGTCGTCTCTTCTTCTCATCCAGTGACATTTGTGCTTGACACTCGTGAGTTGGGTGGTTCTTCGCATCACAAAATGCACATGACTCGATCTGCTTCAGTTTTCCAGCAGCGAAGAGCAAAGCCGCTGATACTTTTGATGTTGATGAGGATCCTTGCTGTTTTTCGTCGAGGTCGTTGTCCTGCCAACGTCTGCTGACCCCGATGGTTGAACGGTAAGTTCGATAACCTTTTACCCGGGTTTCGGCACCAAAATATGAGCAAACTATCGCAGGTCAGAAAAGAACCGACTGCTCCGTTTTAGATGAACAAAAGAACTAGCTTTATTTCAATAGAGAAGCCCGTTGCCGAGCAAAGTTGGGAGAATACATGGTTGCCAGTTGGCTAAAGGAAAAAACCTGAACTTGGCAGTTTCTTCACTCCTGCAAGATGTAATAAAGTTCACATGGCCACTCCACTAGGTGGCTGGGTTGATGAATCACAAGCAGCCATATTGTAAGGTTTTTTACCTGATGTCACTAGCCCAACTGGACCAAGAAGTCAACAAAATTAGCACTGTAGTCCAGCATCACACTACTGTTGATGTCAATATATGCCCCAGGCAAAACCTGATGTTCATGTGAACATTAAATATCTAATCAGCATTTCCAGAGTATTCTAATTGTTCAGAGCTGTCCCTGTATACAAGATATGCGTACGGCAGAGTAAAATCAGCTTTGAAAATTGGAGGCAGAGTAAAATCAGCTTTGAAAATTGGAGCCAGTACACAATTAGGTGCTATCTATGTGGTGTTTCATGGGAGGATTTCCTCAAATTGGCAGGCAATGCATAAAAAGACATCCAGTGGTCTGTTAGGATCTGTGAAACGGATAGTAAGGACTCAGAAATAAAGCAGAGAAAAGCAGAAAACTATCTAAACGATGAATTGAAGAACTTGGACCTACGAAACGGAATCAGCTCGTAGAAGATGGGGTCAAGTGGAGATGGTTGGAAGAGGCCTTCATACTGCAGTGTACAGTATTCACTTACTTTGGTGTTCACTGCCTCTGATTCAGGTTATAGTGGCATAATTTCGACTCGCACGCATTGACCTGAGCCAATGTTATATTTAGAATCGAGATTTACCCCGACAGGACGTGGTTATCTCAAGCAATAATTTGCACGTACTTGTTGTTTCACTAAAAAAATGAATGTTGCACTTGAATTTGTGAGCACTGTACATAGCTGGGTATAATTACGTAATTCATTCAAACGGAAAGAGAGGTTGAGGTACTTAACTTTCAGGCATGAGATACATCGGCATGCTTAGGGTTCCCCTGTGAGGGGGGGAGGGGCAAAGGTCTTTTGCAAAGCCCCTTCCTCCCTACTATGTCTATGTAAGGGGCTGAATTTCCACACGCAATCTTCGGTGACTGAAGACACGCCTCGCCCCTGTGGGTACGTTTTTGTTGACATCCACAGCCACCATCTACAGGCATATTATGTCAAAATAAAGTAGCACAGCAAGGGAGGTTACCTGGAAGGTGATGATGTCTCCCCCACAAAATTTTGACAATTTCTTATTTCTATATATATGCACACAAGTAAAAACATGCATGAACATAGATAAATGGGGGTTTAAAGCATATTGCTGGCATTGATAATAGTGTTCTGGTTGCAGTGTTCCTATCACATTATGATCCATAACTTTTTAATTCGTGGTATTTTTTAGTATATTCCTTCATGGCTTCTCTTTTTTGCTGCACAAAACAGAATAACGCAGAAGTGGAAGAACTCCCAATTTCTCTGCAAAGAGTTATGTATAAACAAATCGCAGAGACAGTGTGTTTAACAAAGTCCACACAAATTACCGCCAGTAACTTTTTGTCGATGGTGGTAATCACACTAGAATAAAGCAATCATTGACAATGGCATAAGAAGGGTTACACATGCCTTATTTCTTCTACACTTCTATGCCCCACAAGGTCATATGCCCTTTTATTAATGCAGCTAAAAGACAAAAGTGAAAGTCTCTTTACATGAAGGGCATAGACAAAAGCCGATGTTCTAATGAGACACTCATTAAATCACCTTAATGTTGTCAGTTAATAGCATATTAGTTAATGTTTAATTGTAAGGTGCAATTAAATACCTACTCATTCTGAAGTCAGTTATTTCATACTTTCTTACAAGAAAAATTGTATGTTAAGCTTGAAATACATATGCAGTTTGTCATTGGTTATACTAATTTCGACCAAAGGAAAATTACAATTTAAATATTTTTCAGAATATAAAAAGTTTAATGAATCATTGAATATGAGAGAGCATCGTCTGTCGGCATCATTAGGCAGCCCATTTAAACGGGTATGAACACGAGCTAGTTCACGTGGTTTCATAGTGATGAACAGTGGGGACACACCGGACAAGAAAGACTGACAGGACTTTGCACTAGTGAACAAGGTTAGCATATATTTAGTGGGTACAGTTTATGTCTATTTCACAAGGACCTTTATTTGTACCTGTGAAATAGACACGAATTGTACCTACACAATAAACACTCATGTTGTTGGCCAGCGTCAAGTTCTGTCAGTCTTTCTAGTTCCGTGTGTCCGTGCCGTTCCCTTTTATGAATTTCATACGTTCACTGCATTGTGGGTCACCGCTGGGTCACGGCCCGTGTTTCTCCTACGTAGTTGCAATGTTATAAGCACGAATCTGTTAGCTGATGGGAACGCTTCTTCACACTTCTCCAAATGTTCTTTGAAGACTTTAATGTCATTATTCTTACCATCATAGGTTCATTATTCGAAGAGAAAATCGAGAGTTAAGTACCATTGCTAAAGTTTGCGCCGACATTCACGCGTGACACACGAATTTCAAAGTGTGTTGCACAATCTGCAAACACCGGCTTGATGAATTGTCATGAAATGTGATATCTTAGGTCGCTGGCCCCACCAGCAGACATTATGCTTTTTTACCAATTAGGAGTTACGTAGGCTTTACAACACAACGAAATTTATGACGTCATGGCATCCGGAGCAGGAATTTTAAGGTGGCGTCGCCTCCAACATTTTCATTTTCCGCGTTTTAACACTTATCAGGCCTCTGGAACTATAAAAGGGTAATTTACTGATGACAGAAAAATCGTTTTCCTCTTTAGTTTTGAAATGAGAGTGCACTACTTAGATGTGGACAGAAAGACAGGGACAAGCGCTTACTACCAACTGAATATTTATTCGAAAAGCTATTAAATATATACTGAAAGATGAAACAGTGTTATGACACATACGATAAGACCAAATCACAGACCAATGTAACAGAACCCATAAAATATCTATGTACATCAGTCCCATTCTACCAACGCCTACTGTGCCTTCGAGTGATTACTTAACTCCTATGGCATCTGCTACTGTCTAAAAATGCTAGCTCCTCATCGGACAGAGCTATCGATGGTTTGCTGATGCAAGTCTGGTGTTCACGCGCTATGTATGCTGCCTCAATTATAAGCCTCATGCGCTCATCTTTGTGTTTGTAAAGTACAACTGTGTTATCAAACTGTACTTCACAGCCACATCTAGTGACATGCTGGGACAGAAAACTATCGTTGTTGCTGCAAGCATTGCACGCATTCTTCTATAGGGTACTTTTAAAAGCACTAGTAAATTTGTGAGCACAAATCATGTCCACATATCTACAAATTTGTAAAATGATGATCAGGTACTGTTCTGTCATCACTTGTTGGAATACATCTGGTCTTTACCTGCAGCTTGATGAGGTCCTCGTCGTTTTCCACCGTCTGAGCATCCACGCTTCCCTCCTTGACAACCACGATGCTGTGACCTGAAGTGCCCGCATAGGAGTGAGGTCGCGGTTTAGGCGAAGGTCGCGGCGAATTTCGCAAGAGGTGCGCCGGACTCTTGCTGCTGAGTTTAGGGGAGTCTTTGAGAAGAACAGCGCATGCGGTTACCAGTGTTGCCAGAAGCAGGTGAAGAGAAACGAGCGAAGTAGCAGCATGAGAAAGACAGAAAAGGAAAAAAGCGTTAGGAACATGAAAGCAGTTATTATCAGCAGATATCAATGAACGGGGGTCAAGTTGGTAGGAAGTTCCTGATATAGCTTTCTCAAGCGGCCTTGAGAACAAGAATACCCAGGCCTGTACAAACACGTTTTCATTCCCTCGGAACTTGTTCTAATACCTGACTGACAACATTCCTTTAATTAAAGTTCCTTGTATTTATAGTTTTTAACTCTATTATGTTTGACTAAAAGGTAGCTGTGATAAGCTTCGGCTGAGTTATGAATGAACTAAGGTTTTGTTGCTATTTTTTTTTTTCTGTTGTCATGTAATGTACACCCTCTCAATTTTCGAAATGCTATCAATAAGTCCTTACTGCTGAGTCAATCACTGTCATGTATTGCTACACAGCAGTGCCCCACGAAACAAATGGAGGCTGTGCATGATGAATAACTAGGCACAAGTATCTTCTGATCAATCTTCTTCCTATGAACTCAATTTCAGCATCTGATATCACTTCAAGTTTTTTTTTTGCATGATACCACGACATAACAAAAGGTAATCTTCTGCTGCCTAATCGTAATGGAATGTGATATGCCTACCCACTGGTCATGCTACTTACATGTTAGTCTTAGATTAAGTGTCAGTCTCCTGCCACATGTTTCTTGGGATAAATTCTTAAGTTCATCTTCAAGGCTATTGAAGCAACCGATTCCTTACAGCATTCAATATAAACATCAATGGAAGAGCACCGACTTCCATAAAAAGGAAAAAAGAAGGCCAAGGCTACAAGCTTGCAATCCGCTTTTTTTTTGCTTTTTTAACTGCTCCAGCTCAGTTTTGTCTAAGTTGAAGTGTTGCACAGTACCGTAAAGGTCAGTGTCTGACAAAAACAAAAACTACCTTTACGGTGTGCAGGCATACGATGCACTTCTAAATTTGCGACATCTGTGACATCTTGTGCACAGCTGTGTACATACCTGTAAAAAGATCTCAATGGCAGTATTGTGTTTGGCGCTACACTACATATTAGCACCAAGTGCAATTTAGATGGCTTATCATAAAAAACAGTTTGTTTGTCTACTATTGCTGAGCTGCACATAAAAGATAAAAGCAAGAGATGAAAGACAGAGCAATGCATGGAATCAGCTTGGCTGTTGAGTGACAAGACATCATCAAGGCAGAAAAGAAAGTGAATCTGAGGGCATTGCCACAAGGGTGCTCTTTGAATGCGGGAGGTCCAATAAAATTTACATGTAACCATCACCAAAGGAGTTTTTTCAAGCACTCTTAAAGGCACACTAAAAAACAGCAATGACTTGCAAAAAGCAGCAATGAGATTTATAAACGACACTCTGAGAACTCTAAAGCCATATGTCTCACTTTCAGAAGTTTATTATTAGCGAAGAAAATCAAGCTTGAAGTTTCATTTTTCAATTTCACGCCAAAATCTTCACGAGTGACGTAAGGGATTTCAAAATGTTTTTTCAGAGTTTTCATGGCATTGGCTCGATGACGTTTTCTGAAATTTTATTAGCTAAGCCTACGGCCCAAACAGATTAAGATGTGCTGAATTTTTATCAATTGGAGGCTACGTCAGACCCAGTAGACGCTTTCAAAATTTCTTACATCATGGTTTTTGGTGCGGGAATCTCAAAGAGGCGTTGCCACATGTTTTTTTTTTTCCATGTGTTTTGCCGCTTACTAAGTGTCCGGTCGTGGCACAAGTGGTGTTTTTGGGATTATAAAATTCTACTTTACAAACAGGCAAAAAATTATTTTGCTATTTATTATCCCTTTAAGAAGTTTTAATTTTTATATAATGTACCAGGAAGCACATAACGGTGATCAGAACAGCCTCCGACCCTTATTAAAGTATTACAAGTGAAGTGGACACTTCTGGATTAGATGAGACCCATCCCAAGCCCAGTTGAACCTTATCGTACTTGTTGAAACTGCTGTCAGGCTTTATCAACCTCGCCCCATTCAATTTTGCCTCACACATGTTCGCATGTATTTTCTGCACTTTTCATGTGCTTGGATCTATTGTCAAGCATAACTGAAGCCATGTAAGCCTTTATCAGAACTTATGAGTCGTCAGTTGGTTGACACGTATGAATTTGTTAGCCATGAATGGGGCATGTAACTATGACTCAACACTCATATATCTGGGTGCAGTGCATACGCCAGTAGAGCACACAAATTGTCATTAGGAAGTGTATACTGTGTCACACTTTATCAATGGACAAATATACTAGGAGAGTCTACCGAGATTGCCTTAGAATAAAAAAATGTACTCATTGTTAGTAAGACATGATAAGTCGCTATGAAGGTATCAATGGGGAATAAAGGTACAAAGGTAGTGTACTAGGGTTACACATGATCCTAGTCATCATTTAAGAAAATATGTGCTAGCATAGGGGTATAAACACGCTTCGTGAATATGTAATATTCGAGCAAGACATAATCACGGAGTGTATGACTCAGTTTACTCATGCAAGTCGTACAGATAGAAATCTGAAACTTTAGAACAGTACAGATTAGAGTGCACCACTTTGTTCCTGCCTAATTAAGAACAGCACTGTGACAAAGACGTAGTTGTTACTACTGTCAAATTATAACTGGCTGTGATAGCTTTGCAGGCCCAGCTAACTCGCACTGTCCAGACATAATGCCCCATCAGAAGAAGAAAAAGTGGCAGCAAGCTATCTATAAGAGATGAAACACACGGTCATTGACCAAGCATGGTTAAATGATTTGATGTTTCAGAACTGCACACAGGGTACTTATTCACTCTCGCATATGGGTTCCCCTTTCAACCCATATGCAGTTTTCAAACGTCAGACCATTTCATCGGACTTGCTCACTCAGAATGTTTCATCTCATCCAATGCCTAGCCAAAAGAACTTTCATCAAACTGTTGACTAAGCTATTCATGTCCCGCTGATAACATGACACAGTGCGTAAAGCCTATGTCAGAGTCTCATAAAAACATACCCCCGATCGGGTTGTTCACCGTTGACGAGACGTAGGGGACATCGGAGTCCGAGCTAATTGAGGGGCGAGGCGACGATGCCTTGGTGTGGCGGCCCTTTCCGACTTTCAGGGAACCGCCACTAGAGTGACTGCTCTGCTCCAGTCCCATTTGCTGAGATGACAATGGTGATTTGCTGAAATGATACAAAAATATTCAATAAAGTAGATGAAAAGACGACTGCCGCTGTAGCTCAATCGGTGCAGCATCGGGGGCCTTAGTCAAAGGTTGCAGGTTTGGTCCGTGCCAGTGCAAGTTGTCTTTTCATTCACTTTACTTTCTTCATATTTTTATCATAATTACTACAATTTGCTCAGAACTGTGCAATTAACATCTCCCATACCTTCCTTTCCTTCACTGGTGGTTTTCACTAAGTTTGTATTAACAAGAAACACGGCCTTAAAATTTTCTTCTTGCATTCAACGGTATCGTTAGTGAATTTATCGAGTGCCTGCACATTTAATTATTTCCGAGTTCCCCTACAGTTATGGGATTTCAATGATGATTCTAAGCCTATTTGTTGACGGGTAAGCTTGCTAAGAAAATTTACTGCCTGTGTAGAGGAAGCGGGCCCACTGGCGATTGAAAAAAAAAAACATCAAAACAAACCCACCAGGGCACTTGCATGAACTGAGCGCAGAACTAAAGACGCTTTACACTAAATCGCAACTGAATGAGCTTCACCCCGGCCTGTGAGCTGCTCCTCGTCAAACCAGAATGCCTTCAAGCTGAATAGGGGTCATGACTAAGACAAACAAGCTCAGAATTATCAGTTTGAGAAATTATATGTTGCGCGATCTGCAGGAGGGCAATTTATGAACAGTTACTTTATTACTATTTGGGCGAATTGGTGAATATTACAAAACCAGCAGAATATTAAAAACCACACTTACCTCCTAGAAATGAAGAATACTTTTTTAGAGCGCACTTAGGATGTAGATACAGATGTTCTTAAGCTTTACAACGGACCTTTTATGAAAAGCAAACACTGTTTTCGTGGCGGTGGTTGCCCAGAATGCCATTACTCATCTTGCAATGAATCAGTCAGGTGTTTCGAATATTCCATGGGTATTGCCTTATTTTCCGGACATGCCCAAATTGACTGGCAACAACTGCTTTACCAGGTTAGTAGACAGCATAGTTTCAACCAACGCCTCCTAGAAACAACCATCGGATGATTTCTTCCGGTGGCACCACTTTCGGCAAGCGCTGATTGGCTGGTTAGAGAAATCAGGACATGCACTCACTTCCATCACTGGATGCGCGTGATTCTACGTGACGTAATGTGACATTGCCACCGAAAGTGAGCGTCTCAGAATACGGCCTCATCGTTTTATGAGCACAGTAACAGGCAGCTGTCAAGCGTCGGTGACGAAGGTGATACGACGAGTGATACTTACGATTGTTTACTGCTTCAAAAGAATATACAGAGCTCCGTCACTCGCCGCGTAGGTTGAAGGGCGTAAAAAATGGGAGCACAGACTTCTTCAGACGAAACACGTCGAATAAATTCGAATAACTTGAGGGAATCGCATCAACGACATTACCAAAGATAGCGCAGTACAACTACAACAACTGAACGCCGCCATGTTTGCTGTGATTGTTACTAGACGAGCAACACGATCCCGCTAGATCTGACTATTAACCTACCGTAACGACGCGTCAGTGGATTCATATAGTGGGACAGTAGCTCTTGTAGTTGCATGGGTACGCTATGAGCTATAGTAAGCTAGATTGCCTGAGTTCTGCGTATCACTCACTTTTGCCTTACACGTAGCATCCATAGGATGTGCTTAGCATCCCTCACGACCGGCTTTATAAATATTTATAAAATTTTATATAAATTTATTATATATATATATATTTTATATAAATATTTATATAAATTTATAAAGCCGGTCGTGGCATCCCTAATACAACAAAATACCGCAGGGAGGTCAGTGTCAATAAGGTTGATAACTGGACTAGTTGGTGAATAATCATTTTGACGTAAGGTTAAGTAGCACAATTTTTAACATAGACAAGACGGATGTAGCGAGTGTCGTGTCCTTTTTATAACTCTTGTCCATGTTAGAAACTGCGTTACTTAACCTTAGGGAAAAATGAGTTCGTTGTGTGCCACCATATTTAAGTAAAGGCCGTACAGAGACTTTATATTTAAGTATTTAGGTAGAGTGCCTTGATGCATGTTTTATCCCTCTCTATTTGGAAAACTCGGCGAAGCAACACCATGAACTGCCATGCCTACAGACGCTCCGCAAATCAAACGCGGAACTTCCCCCCGCTTGACCCTAGTGTGGCTGGAAACATCACTAAACATGGTCTTCGGCCGGATTTTTCTTGGGGGGTGAAAACAGTATTGCATCGTGGCTGGGGAAGGGGGAAAACACTGTGTGTGTAGCTTAGGGAGGGCAAGTGCCCCTTTCGCACCTACCTACTGACCATGAATCTAAACAAAGAACGAGTAAAAAGGGATGGGTTTTTGTCCCACGACGATAAACGTCATCCGGCTTGCTTGCTCTTCCTTTCATGAAAACACGGCGCTGGCAACTTTCCCGTCAACGAAGCTATGTCACACTGATAACGCGCATTGGGATAATCAGGGTGAACAGTGGAAGTGCCTTAGACAAGCTGGCTGACGTTTCGATAGGAGGACCTATCTTTGTCAAATGCACCTTGTCATCCTTGGCGTGTTAGCTTTAAGGGGGTTAGTAGTGACGTCATATCCTGGTGATGGCGCTTGTCCCCTGTTGGCAATTGCCGTCTGAAAAGGAAAAAAAAACTATAAAGCAGAGGAATGCAGTGCTCCCCTCATTTCAAGTTAGGTGGGAGTGATTGAAAATGTTCTCAGAAAGTGGAAAAAAAGAAAGGAAAAGGAAAAAGAAACACGCAAAGTAGGAGGAGGTGTGGAGCTAAGTGGCACACAGCTCCCGCGACGCGCAGGTCACGGGATTGAGTTCCGGCTGCGGCGGCTTTGATTGATATGTGGGGTTTAACATCCCAAAACCACTATATGATTATGAGAGACGCCGTAGTGGAGGGCTCCGGAAATTTAGACCACCTGGGGTTCTTTAACGTGCACCCAAATCTGAGCACACGGGCCTACAACATTTCCGCCTCCATCGGAAATGCAGCCGCCGCAGCCGGGATTCGAACCCGCGCTATGCGGGTCAGCAGCCGAGTACCTTAGCCACTAGACCACCGCGGCGGGGCCGGCTGCGGCGGCTGCATTTCCGATGGAGGCGGAAATGTTGTAGGGCCGTGTGCTCAGATTTGGGTGCACGGTAAAGAACCCCAGGTGGTCGAAATCTCCGGAGCCCTCCACTACGGCGTCTCTCATAATCAATGGTGGTTTTGGGACGTTAAACCCCACATATCAATCAATCAAGAGCGCGAATACATATTTTAACATACGTGGTAGATGGTTGTGCCGAAGCACAATATATGGTAGTGTTTCGGCATCGCTGGGGTGGTTAGGGTATAAAGACCAAACAACAGCAGGAATCGTTAAGGAAATAAAAGAGCTAATCAATTCAATAAACGCTAGTTAAAAAGATAGCGAAACAACCCTTTGGCAGCAGAAACTGTTGTGAGACCGTTTGGCAATCGTGAAATTGCAATATCAAGCACGTTTAACCATTCATATACAGGACATAACATATTGCGGAACAGATAGCGAAAACATGCAACTATATTAAGCTATGATGCGCCTCGACCCGCTATTTGATAAGATGTGCGTATATCCTTATCGCATTTGTCAATACTCACGAAGTGTTCGAGAAAGCAAGCGCGCATGTCTATGCGTGAGATAAGTTATATGATTGAATGATAATTGTACCAAAGCAGTTGCTTGCAAAAGCTCTAGCTCAAATGCCAGTTACCGGCAACATGATCCAATATGCTACCGTTGCCAGTAATAAAAGGCAATGTTAAAGGGACTGACAACTGTCCAGAACATGAAATGAGATGACTGCACAGATGGAAAGATTGTTCCTTATAGTGACTCAAACCAGCCCTGTTTTTCTAGTGAGAAGTGGAGTTTATCTTTATTTCTTTATTGAAAAACGCAAAAAATGGCCTGTGGCGTCTCTGGTGGCAAAAACATAAACTATCATAGGTGCCCCGTCACGTGACCATGCTTTAATGTACACGAACAACAGTTTCTTGATTACTACTGAAATAGTGTTTGATTCTTTATAGCAAAAGATAATATTTTATAAAAGTATACGTATAAGCTTGCGTTAGTAGTACGCATCTAAGTGGCGCTGCCTTTTCGTGACAAAGGCGCAGTTCCGTTTTCGATTACTTGGCTTGGCGACGCGGTACAAATGCGTGGAAGATCTATAGAGCCTCGCCGTCTCATTGTAATGGCTTGTTATTTTAAAAAATAGTTGTAAAGCGCAGAACAAAAGTGGTTAGGCATAGTTCCAGGAAATCCTGTGAAATCCTACGACAGCACGCATAAGCCACCAGAAAAGCTACCGACATCGCTATCAGTACTCAGCGTTGCCATATGAAAAGGCACAGTATACCGTTTTCAGAGCCTTTCAGATCGATAAATACTGCTTATATAAAATGAATACGAGCTCTTGGGATTAACTGCTGCAGCTGCGATCACTACGAAGGGTAAGCTCTCTGTCGTGCAGGAAAAAAAAAACTGGATCAAAAAAAAAGTCAGTTGATGGTCCCTGTAAGTCGTGAGTTTCATAAAGGGCTCGTTTCATGTGAACATCTGCTCTAATTGTTCAACATTAGATGAGGTGGGTTGAGTACAGAAATTATTTGAGCGCAATGGGCGAATGTTTTCGTTCTCAACGCAGTATAGAGTGCTGGAAAACAACCGCGGTTAACATTGCAGTATATCATGCGGATGAAACGGTAAGTTACTCATTGCACTTGGAAGGTTGACTGATGGAAAGGTAGTTACACGTGCACACTTTCCTAAACTACACACAAACGCGAAGGCAAGACACACGTGAGATGGCGACGTTCTGCTGTGATGTCACCGTTTCTTGTACGCTCACAACTGGAATACTCGCCAAGTTTTCTTTGAGACAATTCCACCTCGGACATAGACTTTGGAACTCACCTTTAGGAGGCCACTGATGTTGCCAGTGCTCTTTATTTCATCTTGTATTATCCGTTCATTGTTTGTTACCAAATAGAAAAACAAAGGCACAGTGATTCGCGCACATGTGAACAGTGTAGGACAAACTGTGTGTGACATTTAGAACTGTCTAAAAAGGGTAGGAAACATCGATTACGTTTCATACCTCAATTGTCTAAAGTAGGTTCGTGCCATTTTTTTTCTTCGCTGAATATACATTAAGACGATGATGGCAGCTAAAGCTGTGACACTTGACTAACGGGAATACAGCCAATGAAAAACGCCGTCTGATATTGCAAAAGATACTGAGACGTGCTATGGGAGGCTTGTAAAAATGAAAAAGTGTTTAATTTTTAATTCATTATCGGCTGAAATAAAACAAGGCTGACTAATTTTTCTGAGTTTTGTTGTATCACTATCAAAGAAAAGCAGGAATAATGCTAACTTGACCCTTAGTTAAAAAAAAAGAAACACTCGACAGTTTGTGACAGTTATTTTATCCGCGATGCTCGATAGAAAGGCGGTCAAAAGTGAAGGCGTGGTATATACACCAGTGGAGACTCACGAACAAGATCTTTGTGTATTGTGCTCGCGATGATATTAAAAGGAAGTGCCGAAGGTAGTACGTTTATTATTTTGTTTCAAAATAAAAAAAATGCTGACTGTTAGAGCAAATCTAGCCCCACAACAATATTTGCGCTGTCATCTTTTAAAACAGCAAAAGTAAATAGATATTATTATCTGAAATTCACAGGCGGGTAATATATTAACAAGCAACACTGTAACAATTATTATAAATTGTACCTTTCAAGCAGGCATAATCAATTTGGAGGTTTACGCCAACGCCCCTACAGAAACGCCTTATTTGGGTTGACCATGTGTGAACTCCCAATACTAATTTGCCAGCAGTTATTCTGCAGGAACTCTGTAACCACAGCGACGATTTCCCATATGCTGTAAAAATGTATCCTCACTTTGACCATGTAAAATAACAGATGCTTAAGGGGAAACTGCTACAATTCGGAAGAGGTGCCCGGTTTTAAGATCAATGTATTTTCGATTAACTCGTAAGAGACAAGATTAAACTTATCTCCGAATGATATTGATGCCACATTTCCCTATTATTGGAGTAAAATTCAGCATACGCTGAGAACTTCGTATAAACTAGCACAATCGTGTGAGCAAGGGCATGCTGAAACTTCAAATGTGTTAATTAGGAAAGCCAAAGACAGGGTAGTTTCTTACTACAAATAAGACAGTACAAAGCCACGGCCAATAAGACATTGCTTTATTTTTTTCATTTCATTTCCTTTATACGTACCTAACAATTCTGAATGGTCTCAACAGACGTCGACGTAGTCACATGATCCTGTCACGTGTGGACGACAACACATTAATGACATCATCATATAAGTGACGTCACCAACAGAAAAGTCTCGCGGACTCTCGACCAACTTGTGAGCAACGCGGGAA